ATGTCAGAGACACTAGCGAAGTCGGGGCTGAGGGTTCGCTATGTTCGGGAGAGGCATGAGTTCAAGTTCGGTAATGCCGGTGTTCTTAGGACTTCGGTGACAGCTCTGATTCCAGTGTGTCTCGGAGGCAAGCAGCTGGCAATTAAGGCGGCTGTGTTGCCAGGTACAGGTTCGGAGACGCCACTTCTGTTGTCGAAGGAACTTTTGCGTAGTTTGCAAGTTAAATTAGATATGGGGAATGATGTTCTTGAGATAGGAAAGTACAGGGTTCGCGTGAAGCTTCGGGAGACGGAGCGAGGGCACTATGCATGACCTCTATTTGAGGGACTGCCAAGGGGCCACGCCGAGCAACAGGAGGCACCGAATGAGGGTGACAAGACGCATGAGGTGAATGCCGCAGAGTTTTCGGTCCCCAGTGCGAAGGATAGAGCAGCGGCTGTGCCAAGCTCAGCCGCGAACCGTGAGCTACACGGGCCAAGCAATGAGCGATGCGCCGATGATGGGATACGGCCAGAGTCCTCTGATCATGGAACTGATGGAGGAAGTGGCGGGACAAGCTGCCGCAGCAGAGGGCCAGATCACAGATGTGAGCGCCAAAATCCTGGACGAGGCAGCCGATCACAGCGACGACGAGCTCGACGCAACAGTGCCAGGCGTAGATGGCTCGCTGGGTCAAAGGATCTTCACCATCGGGAAGTACCAGAAGGCGGGCCGGCTCGTGACGTTCAAGGCAGCATACGAGCAGGACAAAAAGTATGTAGCGTGGGTTCGCAAGTTCATCAAGGGCAAGAGTACAAGTCCGGAGAAGAGCAACCACCCTACGATGACGCAGTTCAGGCTGTACATTGCTCTACGAGATAAACGGAAATCTCTTCGCCTGCAGATGAATCCCGAACCAACGCAACTGCTGGCAATGCGTCCCAAGGCGAAGGCGGCAACAGCGTGGCAGCCAAAGGCGAGGGCAACCGGAGTGCAGCGAGGAATGCCCACGTCCTCCGGAACTATGAGTGCTGCATCGTCGGCACAGATGCCGCCCCCGTCGATGACAACCGCTCTATCGAGCGGGGCGTGGGAGGATCACTGGGTGGTGGCAGCCGAGCCAGAAGCGGAGACGGCGACCGAGACTACTCAGGAGCGACGACGCCGAAGGCTTCGAGAGCAGATCGAGCTACTGACCTACCAGTTGGAGGAGCTACAGGAGGCCGAGGACTTTTGAGCACAGCGATCACAAATGGGGACGCTGTTTCTACTATGAATAGTGCTGAACGCAAACTGCGCAGGCGTGGGTTGGAAGCTTGTTCCCGGAAACCTGTGGACCTGTGGAGTTGTATGGTGTTCATAGTAGTGTTGATGTGATGGTGTTGGAAAAGGGTTCCGGCGAAGAAGTGCTCACGGCAGTAGGGCTTAGCACCGAGGCTGTCTTTGAAGACCTATCCGCCTCCATGATTCGTCAGGCTGCGACTGTCGAGCAAGCTCTGAAAATGATCCGGAAGTTCTCTCCAAAGCTGCTGGTTGTGCGTCCACCAGATCACATGGGTTAGGACGTATCATGCGAAGCATCGAGCTGCGTACACCAGGCTTGTGACTGCGTGCTGCATGGAACAGTACTGTGAGGGTCGTTTGTTCTGTGTGGAAGATGTGAATGAGAGCATGAGTGGGAGAGTGAAGCAGTGGAGAAAGCAGCGAAGTGATGAGAACATGTTAGTTGTTGAGAGAGTGGAGAGCGACAACACGTGGCGAGCGTATACAAACAGCAGTCATGTCTATCAACAGATGCAGAATAATTTACTTGGATGAACATGAAGGAGCTGCAGGACCCTCGGTGTTTCATGAAGGATGTGGCTGCAGGAACACTGAAGGCAAAACAGCAGGTTCATGAAGTTCATG